ATAGCCTTAAAATATCGTTTGTTCTTTTGCCACGAAATTTCTATTTTCACAGTAAGATGAGGAAAATGTACCGTTAACGATAGATACAATAATTATTCCCATAGAAGTAAGCATTGAAGTAAGCCAGAAAATTAAACTCTCACGCCTGCGGTATATATATATAAAAATACTTTATAGTAATATGATGTTAGCTGTTTTTCTCGCGAAAAAAAGGTACATACAAACCTCTGTAAAGAATAATACCTTCGTCCGCACAACTTCAGACGATTTACTATCTGAAACCTTACTTCAGATTTTTCAACTTATTTATGGAATAAATCTGCTACAGATTTATCCAAAAAACTACGACATTGAATATCGAATATGGCTGCCTCAAACTGCCATGAATGACGAACTGTTTACATGTTCGTACTATCCCATTCCCGCTCGTATTAAGACCACCTAATTTCCGTTTCTGTTTCGCATTTTTTAGCACAATGCATACATTTATCTAACGCAATTGCTGTAGTGTCGCTCAAAATCTCTCAAGTAAAAGCTAAAACTTAACGTGATGACTGATAACCAGGATCAAGCTAAAAAAATGTTCATATATTTACATACGTCAAACTTAGCCAATAAACACGCTTTTGGCATCCACCTCCCTGCCTCCAGTGCGCAGAAGTGAAGATGCACGTTTTTGCTGAGTGCCGCACAGGCGAGTAGATAAGACTTGCGATTAACAAACAGGTGATCACGGGTTCAATTTCCAAAGCGATTTGACAATGTAGGTTATTGAAAAATTGTTCCGGTCCAATCCATTTTCGATGTGCAGAGCTGCCGGGTATGTTATAATTCTGACTACCACGACTGTGGTCACTAATTCAGAGCCTAGTACATTTTATTCATACTCTAGCCCGTAATTATAATGAATATTCACTCGTCAAACGAAAATTCTATGAAAGGCAGTCTATTGGAAGCTCAGACTTTCTCTGCATATAAGAGCTTGCTTGTCGTGGTAACGTCTATATATGTTAGGATCCAAAAAGAATCTTTGTAATCCAAATTCCAATTACAATTAAAAATTAAGCTCTTTCACGAAGGGTTTACTACTCGTGAGATATCATATATGGAGTGGGGCCAAGAAATAGCCTCACGTGGTTCAAATTAGGTCCATTTAATTTTCATTTTAAATTACTATCATGAACAAATTAACGATTTCCCCTTTTTTGGCCTATAAGTGTTTCAAGAGAATCCTTATATGTGGTGGTATCCAAAAAATAGACCTACATAGTCCAAACTCGGTAAGGCCTGATTTCTTTATCAATTTATTATTATGAGCAAATTTTCAACGCATAGAGATTTCGTTCTCATAGGATCGGTTGTATGAGAGAGAGTTCAAAAAATTGCCTCAGCCGATCCAAAACTTTCACACCAATTTAGAATGTCGAAATATTACTACTTAGCCACTTTTCTCGGGATATATTGAAAATTGCAAATTTTTCTTATAACGACTTTTCGGTATAGGAGAGTTGGCGAAAAAGTGAGCCGGTCCGAATGCTTTTCAGTACGGTTCGTCCGTAAGTCAAGGCAGGTCAGTGTATCAAATTTCATCAAAATATCTCAAATTTGCAACCTGCGGCTTGAACCCAAAAATACATGGACGGAGTACAGACGGGCAGACATACTTAGATCGATTCAGAATCATATCCTGCGGGTCTGTCTTGAATGCCTGTGAATGTTACATATTTTCGCCTGCATTCTCAATACTTGAACATGTATTTGTATAAAAATTGCCTGCATCTGAGAGTAAACGTATAAAAATTTGCTTTTTGCCTAAGACTTACCGACTGGGCACACGTCCGCTAAGCTGTGACCATTCCCTAACACTTCTTCTTTCCTTATTCCTTTCCCACCGGTACTGTGTTACACGCAGAGGCGACATCCCCTGAGTGAGTAGCCGTATTAGAAAAAGCCTGCATATCATTTCACCGGTAAATTGGTAAAAAGAAAAATTACTAGGGTAAATTAATTCTTAGCTTTCATTGAAAGCCATCAAAGCGAATATTGAATGCTTTTAACAGATCGAAATATAACAGAAGTGGCGGCCATAAGAAAAAGAGGCTCCAAGCACTAGAAAAATTAAAGCGATCTTATAAATTAGTTAAAATACTATGGTCAGTCAAACTAGACCGTCAAACAACGCACATCACTTTTGTTTCAACATTGTCCATGTTTGATAAAATTAACATTATGTCAAACGAAAGAAAGTTTTAGGTTACTAGCAAAAAGAAATACAGAGAACGAGCGAAAAAAACAACGCAGTAACGAGAAATTGGAAAACTATTTTTTTTAGATTGGGATGCAACCAAATCATAAAAAAATTCGTATTGCAAGTGTTTCCTCATAAAACTCATTTTGTAAATGTTTACTACACTTGAGAAATCTTATAGGAGAGATAAAAGAGGGGTGCACTTCTAGAACAATAAACTCAGACCTCAAATCAATATTTTAAATCGACTCTTCTCATAAAAAATTAAAAACTACAACTTTTTTTATATAAATATTTTTTTAAAAGACTTTGTTTGCACGGAGATCTCTTATTTAGTATGTCAAAATTATATTTGCTGCTAACGTTTGCCAAAAAATACCAAATCTCTTTATATAAAGTCTATTACAAAATAGAGCTCTATATAGCAAGGGGAGTCAAAAATGTTCTGACTTAAGTTTTAATCAATAGCATTCCTTCCTGGATTTTTGTTGAAAATAAAGACACGTATTCAGACACCAGACGGCCGAACACGCTTAGTTCGATTCAAAGCGCGAGTGTATGAATAAGTCTTACGGAAGCTATTGTGTCCGTTGCATATGGCCAGAAAATCTTAATATGGCGTTTACCGGTGGCGGTGGTGTGAAGTATAATTCATTAAAATCTTAGAAACGATTTTGTTAACAACTGCCAATCGGCAACTGGCCACAATAATTGAGCGACATATAAATATTTATAGTGAAAACGGTGCGGGTTATCAAACTTGTTAACAAAAATAAAAACAATGTGAGGTGATTATATCCCCATCACAGAACCGCAAATTTTATTACTTTTGATATTCTCTTAGAAATAAAAATAAATATAAAGTATGTAAATTTTTCACATACCTTTGACTTAATTTAGATAACTGCCTCTTCATTTGACTAAAATTTTGATAAAAGCTTTAAAATTGATCCCAATCGAGGTTCTTCTGATCATGTTTGAAAGTGAACCTAACAAAATCACAAATCATACCGCTTTTAAAAAAGCTGAATAAAAATTATGTGAATAACTAAAATTTCTAAATATTAAGGCTCACCATTAATAAATAATAGCTTAGCAAAAATATTTATTAGACCGCCTAAGACCGCCGTTCGATATAAAAATAGGGCCAAAGTGCCAATTCATAAGAACTCACTTAACTAATAATAGGTGTATTAGTTAATGGTGATGGGTGTAGAGAATCTTCAGAAACATACAACTTTTGCTTTTTGCTTGGTTGCGCGATTATCGTCTAAAAATACATTAAATGGGTTTATTCTATCGTCTCTGGACGCTACAAAAAGATTGACTGCTCTCCCAACTTCTAGCATTAGCCCTTTTATCCTCATGGTAGAATTAAATTATAATTAATTAATTGTAATTGATTAATTAGCTGCAATCGTTTCCAATGCAATCTACGCAACTTTTAAATGATGTAAAGTCTTTTTTCGAATACCTTCTTGCCTTCCGCAGAGATCTAACACAGTATGCTGCAGTCAAAAAACATATAAATCGCCGCTTTTGCTATAGAAGCTTGTCAATATATATAGAAAAAAATGAAAAACTGTACAAAAAATTGATTATCATACGCTCGCGTATGAATGGCTTATACATGTGTTTATTATATGCGATCGGTATAGAATAGCTTCTGCTGTATGGTTAGAATTTCAATGAAAAAAATGAAAGATCGATTTTTTTTTGTTATATGCAAAGTTTTTTTATGCGAATCACTTGATATCAAAGCATGTCTTCATCTGCCTAAATAATCCGGAGAACATAAAGTATTGCTATCAAAAATAACAACAAACACATTACTAGAGATAGTTAAGTTTAGCCTACGCGTATGCACACACAGGCTTACATATAATTACGTAAATCTGCAAGTTATCTGACCTTTTCAACTGGTTCGTTACTTATACGACCATCTCTAAAGGGGGTAAGATGATTACCTTCCATCATGTCTACCAGGCTCATTAACATTCATGAAAATAAGAGAAAAAACGTCCTGACGAAGACGCAGCGTACACATCATTATCTATTACTACTCTTTGTATAGAAAATTCGCAAGATTCGTCCATACAGGTATATACATAACTTACATATATGGTTAAATTACTATAGCCGTAGCTTCAGCTACAGCAACAACATGTCATAACAAACATTGCAGACATTGAAAAGTCTAACTTATTGAATGTCTCCACCACGTTGGTGTTAGTGTCCATGGCCTTAGAAGAATTTTGTTAAACACCAACGTTGTTCAAAATTGAAGAAGATAGACGGTGATTTAGTGAAGGACGGCAAACACAAACGCACAAAAGTATTAAGCGTTCGTCAGCTTATGGTGGCCACATGATTTTTAGTTGCATTGTTGCTATTGTTGTTGGTTTATATTTGAAGCAATTTCAATTTCCAAGCCATCATTAAAAATGGCAACATCACGAATTCTTGAACAAAATTCAAAATACACAGCCCAACAACTATTACCGCTACCATCCGTTCGCCAAATAAAAAACGTTTGCGAAACAAAAAGACAAAGAAAAACTTGTACTCTTTTTTAGCTTCAGCAACAGTTATACAAAAAGAAATTTTCGTTATTATTATTCCGTTTGTGTTGTTTCGTATTCTTATTTTTCTCTACACTTATTATTCCTTTTTGTTCTTCTGTTGTATATATATTTCACGATTAACAACAAAAACGACAAGAAAGTACCCATCATTTTTGTGTGTCTTGCAGGCGAAATCTTCCTAATGCGACCTCTAGAGGATATCGCTGCAATCACGCATGTGGGCGATCCCGTCTTGCTTACAGTAATTGCGGAAGAGGTTAAGGTTGGTCGTGACGAACCACCAGCAATGGCTTCCACCGTGCAATTGGCATTCTTTTTACCCGAGCGCACCAATTCGCCGCCATACTTCGAAAACGATCAGTAAGTACCAGTTGCACAACTAAATAAAAGCGTCGACAACACCAACAACAACATCGGTATCAACCACACAATCACAATCACAGTGTTCTTTGAATCAGACTGAAACCACTTCAATTGTCTGTTTTAGCCGCAGTAGCCCATTAGCATATGCAACAGCAGCCTTTCGTTGGTGTTTGGCTAATAAGTACAATAACAATAAAACGTTGCGCAAAAAGAATGCTTGTTTGGCCATACGCCCGCCAGTACTTCCCTTTCCGTGCCCTCAACAGGGCAAGCGAATGTTGTTAACTAAGTTCTTTAGTTTCTTCTTATTTTATTGTTTTCCTTTTATTTTTTGTCATTGCATTCGTTCGTTCGCTATTTTCTTTGCAGTTATGTATCCCGCGTCGATGAAAATGCTCCACAAGGAACTGCTCTCACATTTGTCGACCCTTATGTACCGCGTGTTTATGATGATGATACGGGCAAAAATGGTGTGTTTTCTTTGACTTTGCTTAATAACAACGGTACTTTTGAGATTTCACCTAACGTAGCGGAACGCAGTGCTTCATTTCTAATACGCGTGCGAGACAACATTTTATTAGATTACGAAGAACGTCACTCAGTAGAATTTCAAATATTAGCACAAGAATTGGGACCAGCCACAAATTTATCTGCCACCGTAAACGTCACTGTCTATATAAATGACGTCAATGACAATCCACCCATATTCTCCCAGCCCGTGTATACAGTCGAACTGCCAGAAAATATGACAATGGGTACTAAAGTGGTACAGGTTCATGCTGATGATGTTGACACTGGTCTGGGTGGTCGTGTCCGTTATACCGCCATTTTAGGCTATTTAAATACTTCTCTTAATCTGAATGCTGAGACTGGTCTGATAACAGTATCCACCGATAATCATGGCTTTGATCGTGAAGTGATGCCCGAATATCATTTGTATGTGGAAGCTCGTGACAATGATGGTTCTGGAAATCGAGCACAAGTACCATTAGTCATAAAACTTATTGATGTCAACGATGAAGTGCCTACATTCGAAAAAGATTTATACGAGTTTATCTTGGCTGCCGATTTGAAAAGTTTTACTACAGCGGCAGTAATACATGCTGTAGACAAAGATGCGACTGCACCCAATAACGAGGTGCGTTATGAAATTATTAACGGTAACTACGATAATAATTTCGCGTTAGATAAAATCACCGGTGAATTAACTGTACGAGAAAAAGTAAATTTTCGTACTAAAAAACAAATTTCACAACATAGACGTCGCAAACGGCAGAACCCTCCCATTAATGAGCCAAATATGTTTATATTAATTGCAAGAGCGTATGATTTAGGTATACCGGTACTCTCTAGCACCGCGACCATACGTATTTATCCGCCAGAAAGTCGTACAAGAGCTGTAACATTTTTGGTTCCTGGTCTTAATCCAGACAAAAGTAAAACAGAAGAAACTTTATCAACTATTACCGGTGGTAAAGTGCTTATACATGAAATCCGTTCTTTAAAACCCGATGAACCTGGTGCTCAAAATATTCCTTCCGGCAATAATCTCGATATTAAAGACCGAAGTGTTGTAACAGCAACGGTTCTTTATGATAGCGCTTCCGTAGTTGATATTTCCCAAATACAAGAACGTCTTTCGCAGCACAACAGCTCGTTTGCTATAATGAGCGGTCGTGAAAGCTTATCGGAAACAGATGTAAGTTTAATTTGAAATCATGGTTTGCTACAATTCCCTTTTTAAGGATTTAACTCCTTTGCAGACTCTTTATAAGGCTGAAAATAAATTATTGTTTTGGTTGCTAATACTTTTGGCCACTATTGTGGCCTTAACAATTTTAATATTGCTATTGTGCTGCATTTGTTCGTGCTGTCCTCTATATGGAGCTACAAGGTAAGTAAATTTCAAGGTTTTGTACTTTCCCTTTTCTAAAATAAACGACTTCGTTGCTTCTTAAAAAATACTTCATTATGGAGATCAGAAATTTTCTAATGCCTAACAATTCAAATTTATACCATACTTAACTCGGTTAGGTTACGTAGTTAGTTACTCACTTAATTGTCAATTACTACCTAAAACTAAAGTGAATGATAAATACTATAAGCGAAATAAGGCCAACTATTTTTCTTCATTCTTCGATGCATCTTTGTCTATCAAATAAAATTGGAACAAATTTCGCGCCACCTTTATGTACTCAAAGAAAAAGAAAGAAAAACTTGGAACTTATAGCTTCCACAAGTTTTTCTACATCATTTGTTACTTCTATCCATAAGCGCAGATTATTGTCGTTTTTATATGATCGTTATCAATGAACAAAGAAAATCTTCTTCGGAGGGAAGAACTTTGAAACCACGACTGTCGTTCTAAGCCTTGGATGTTTGTTGCCAAATTTTATCTACACCATCACTTGGCAATTTTCCGGGAATTCATATATAATTGAGAGTGGAAAAGAAAGGATTCACTTCGTAAATTAAAACCCCATGTTGTTACTGTACACTCCAAAAAAATTAAAATAAATGTTCAGCTGTGTGCTAATATGCGATATTTAATTGCAAGGTGGAGCGAGGATTAAACCATTCGACTCACCTCGTATACCGTATCATACCGTAAAGCGTAAGTACATCAAATCATATTTTTGTGCAACTCGCCAACACTGTGCAAATAAGTATATAAGTCATGAAGTCAAACGGTTTTCTCATTTCTGAAATGTCAACATATGACTACTCTTGTTTCGATGTTTGAACGGTAAAAACTAAAAAGGTTCTGAAATTAAACTATTTTGAGTGTTGAGACACATTTTCGATCGCCTTGGCGCGTGAAAACGGAAAATCTAAGCGAAATAGTCCAATAATCTCCAAAGCCATAACGAGCAACAGTTTAGTACTGTCTTGTACGTACTGACAGTGCAATTGGTCTATATTTTTTCAAAAATGCTATTAATTTGACCTTTCCAACGAAATGACCTTAACTGGCTTTTCTTGGGCCAAAGGTGATCTATGAATGTGGACAACGTTTTTTTCGTGACGATGATATCTATCACATACAATGTCTTCATTGCGCTATTAATTTAAATTGGTATATCTTATAGACAGACAGTACACAATCAAGTGCCTTCTGACGCGATTAACTAAATGATATCTGCATGAATAGACAGCTAAATAAGAATCGTGATAAGAGTCGTGACTGCCAAGTCAATGTTTGCGAGTTTAAATCGCATTGCGGTAGCTATGATGAGAGCGCAGGCGACAGAGTTATAATATTCATCGGTTGGGCATACGCCCAGACTGCGGCTACCTGATCGTCGCCGTTGACCACCACTCATGGTCTTTAAAATTTTGGAAAATAAGAAATGAGAACACATGACTCTTAAAATTGGTTTTCCCAAAAACAACATCTTGAGGTCGGGCAAGCCAGCGAGAGCTCAGCTATGATTAAGTCGGTTCTACTGTTTTCGCCGATGTACATATTAAACATATTTTGCAAATCTAATACGGCTTCTGCAGTACTTATAACAGCAGTACATTGTTTCGAAATCTAAAAGAAAAGAATACTAAAAGATTAGATATCGATTTTCATATGTGTTATCTTTAAATGAATTGTAACAAAGTCAGCTCTAACCACAGGCATTGTAAACATGCTGTACGTCAATTACTTTCATTTCCATTTTTCCAATGTATCCAACATTCTCGTTTATTCCCCGCATTTTCTACAGATTTTAATTCCTCTCTAATGACATAAATTACAAATAGATTATCTTTGCTTAGTCTAACGTAGCACGTTCATTGACGACCTTAAAATTAGCCACACTTGAGATATTTTCTAAAGAATTTGCATCTTATATGCTTTATTGAAAAATATAATTCCTAGCAGCTTAGAACATTTAGAGAATCTTAGCGTACCAGCTCAGAACATAAGAAAATTTAGAAGATGAACACCAACTTAACTACATGGGTCTTTTCGTTTCTTTTAAAAATAGATATTGAGCAAAAAAGTTGACATATTGCAAATATAACGTGATCGTATACCATAGATGTGATCTGGCCGTAAACTTTTCCCGCAGCATTAAAATTCCAACAGCTTAGTGTATTCATCAGCGACTCTACAAAGGATAATAATGAGTTTAAAAACTCGCTTAGATGTATGCATTTTTCCGTCCATAGGTACACTTTTTGTCATTCGTTTATTCAGTTAAAAAACAAAGCTAGGGAAATATTAATACGAACTGCATTCTACATGTGAAATTTGGAAAAAGTCGCCATATTTACAGATCGGTTAAAATCTCTTCAACAACTTCAGTTACAAAAGTTTTAAAAAATTTATTCTTTGCGAAGAACAGTTGAGGCTTAAGATAGCTATTCATGTAACCAACACAGGCATTTTCACAGTTTAAAATAGTGAAATTAATGAGCCGAAAACCCTGATCCTAGTGAAATTTCTCTATTTCTAATATATTATTTCGTTTGAATTTCTGATTTCCATATTGAATCTTTGTTTTTCAAATTTTTTGTTTTTCGAAATAAAAGATAAGCAAAAATTCTTAAAATAATCAAACTTATATTGTTTATATGTTGCCTTTAAAAATCTAAATTTATTTAAAAGCGTATATGTATGTTAATCATTATAAAAACAAAAGAAAAAAAAAAAAAAAAAAAAAACCGAAAATAAAAATCACCAAAAAACCAAAATCAAATCAATTCCATCAGCTTTTGTATGTTAATGTGTTGCCGTTAAAATGTGTCGACATACCTTGCATTAAAAATCCAAAGACATACAACAACATACACACGCATACATTCATTCTATCTTTAATTCTTTCTTTTTCTCTTGTAGCAAAAGAATAGTTAATATCAGTAGAACTGAAGACGATGTTCATCTAGTTCGTAGGGAAATGGCAAATGGAAAACAAACAAAATCTGTTCAGGTAGAATTTTATTTTCCAATTTGAGCGGTACACACTATTGCTATTACTATTTTACTCTACACGCTTATCACGTATTGTCACGAACTTAATTTCGATCTATGCTGTAGTTGTAGTAACAAACGCACTTTTTTTCTTTTTTGATTTTAAAATATCCTCACACGGACGACAGAAAATCTTACATGAATGTATAGAAAATGATTGTGGCGATGATAATGACCATGATGGTAATGACGACCATTACAATGGTGATGCACATTTTTGTTGATGTTTCTTTGTTTATTTGTTCGTTCGTTGGCCTTATTTTGTTCTTTTTTGGTTTCATGTGTTTTTTTTCCAATATTTATTTCTTATACATACAGTTTGGAAATTCTCGGTAATATTCGCACACACACACACACACACACACACTCAAACGTACACATACTGTCATTTTCTGGTCGCTCTCTCTTCAACAGTAGATTGATAGATTTCCGGATCTATGCTTCGCTTATACATTAAATCAATAACATCACTAAGCAACACTAGATTAATCATTCCTCAGTTTTTAGAGCTTCTTTTAATAGTTTTTATGCAAGGGTTTACATTATAAATTACGGTTGACTGAACCCTTTATTTTAAATATAAGCACTGAGCGTATGGGGTTTAGGTTGTGGGGAATCATAAGTTGATATCTTCTTTCCTTTTTTTGTTTTGCTCTCTCGTGTCCAAAATACTAACCACTCTGGTAAACTTTTTACTATTTTTTATAGGTCGCCGAGTGGATGGGCAGACGCGAGGCCTGGTCCGCGGACAAACCGACCGATCCACGAACGAAGCCTACCCGTTGGGAGTTCCACAATGGCCGTGAACAGTTTGACGAAAACATAGGTGGTGGCGCCGGTGTGCATGCTACCACTTCAGTCGGTCTGAGCAAGAACAACCAGCCAGACTCCGATGGAAGACGTCGAATACGTTCAGCCGACGAGCAGCAAAGACGAGTTAAAATAAAGTAAGCTCTTGTAAAACTTTTTATATTATATACATAATCTTTACTTGCTTTATTTCTTTCGAATGTTTATTGGCATAGAAATTCTCGTGCAGCCAAAGAGGATACTCATCTTAGTTTTCATAATTCTAGAACTAATTTGATCAACGATCGCGATATTTATATTGAGGATGTTATCGATGAGCAGCAACTAGTTGACGAAGAAGAGGAAAGTTTTCGGCGTTCCAAACGCAATAACCAGCAAATGATGCAACAACAACAGCAAGAACGACATCAGATTGATGATGATTCCATGCGGCGTCATGAAATCGATCGTGGCAGCGATATTGATTACAATACCACTCGCAACAGTTTAAGAAATAAACGAGAATTTTTCATTAAGGATGGGAACATAGAGATACTACAATTAATGACACGCGATAAGACTCGTGAAGATGCTCCTGCTGAAGAAGATAACATCTATATGAATGTTCCATTAAAATCTACAAATCTCTCTCATCCACAGCTCTTAATGGTCGATAATAGCGGGAAGGAAATTTTGATGCGTCGCTTTATTGAAGAACAACCGGATGGTAAGCAGATAATACGTGAGCATTATCAAATCGTACCAGGAGCTACGTACATACAAACAATGCCTAATGAAATCCCACAAAATTCCACCTTGAAAGGCGATACCTTTCCTTTAGGTAAATCCGGGCCAAATAGTGTTGTCTACTCTCAAACTGAGCCCGAGGTTAAAGTTATACACACACAACCAGCCCAGGGATCGACAGCTATGGTGCAGACCAATAGTCTAGGGAATGTAACAATGCAACCGGCCATTTCAAATCAATCATTAACTCAGGAATTGGAAAATTCTCTAAAACAACAAAACGAACTGCTACGTCAGATTTTACTAGAGAAAGAGAAGTTGGAAACTCGATACCTTCAGCATGAAGTAGCTCTTGAAACACAAAGTCTACCAGGGCAAGCTATGGCAATAGCGACGCAAACAGATTGTGAAGCGGGTACACAAACTGAATTTACCAACGGTTTCGCGTCACGCAATGGTGTCGGTTCAAAAAGTTTTTCGGTTAGACGTCGAGCTCGTAGCGAAAATGATGATTCTGCATCTGAAGGGGATGATGATTACGAATATATACGCTTAAGTTCACCTAACAGCCCGGATGGCATTGTTTATTACATTAAACGTAACAAGCCCAGAAGACGCAGTAAATTTCGCAGTAGCATGCAACCGCGTAAACGTATTGTTATGGTGGAAGAAGTAAAACGAAAAATACGCACTCCCATTAAGGAAGAAGATGATGAAGAATATCATAAAGCTCGCAAACGAATCGTACCTAAGAAACCTCCACGTAACAATGGGGAAACAAAAACAAGTATTCTAAGGCGACTCAAAACGGAGGAAAATCGCAGAAGAGAAATATGTGCGCAACCCAGTGAACCACTTAATCGCAATATACTTATGGAGATTTCTGATTCTTTGGATGAACCACTCAGCCCTGCTCGTAGAAAAATTGAAATACAACAAGTTCAATATGTGGAATCGTCCGAAGATGAAGATAACGCTGATGTTGTCGGTAAAGAAGAAGAGGGCGATGCTGAATATTCAAATGAATCGGATACCGGAGAAATAATGATTAAAACCAATATGTTTACAACTAGTCAAAGAGATAAAGAGAAATACGAGCAACCGAGAAAATCAACCAAAGATCAGCATCATTTCGAAATCCATGTAGAAGATAGCAAAAATAGTATGCGGCCAGAAGCAAGACCCAGACTTTCGCGATCAGATAGCTGTCATCTTAATAACAGTAAACATGGTAAACATAACAACACGGAGCCGATAAAAAATCGCGTATCCATTACCAAATATCATACGGATGAAGGCAGCGGTACTCATATTACGACAACCGAAGTTTGTGACAATCGTATAAGCCACAGCGAAGCTGAATTATTAGAGCGTGACGAAGCAGCTTTTAGCCGAACAAGAACTGGCAGGAACTCTAAATACATGAATTGGTATTATGATAAAAAGAAACCGCCTTTAGCTGCGGAAAATTCTAACAAACCACCACAACAACCAATTAGAAAGAAAACACTGGGTGAAAAGAAACTTAGCAAGACACGTTTACATATTAAGCATGTAGAAAGCGTACAACATGAAGGGAAATTCAAACCTGAACCTGCGCCTAGAAAATCACCATCCAAAGGCAATCGTTTGCTTAAGGAAGACATTGCGAAAAATAAACAATTAAAATCACGGGGAGAAACCGAAACCAGTCACCCTTTAGTGCAGCATTCAGAGCATCGCTTCGAACGAGAAAATGTCCCAGAAGTGCCTATACATCCCACCAAATTACCCCATTACATGTATCCAGAAACACCACCTTTTGGCGCTCATAGCAAAGAACTCGTTCAACAAAACGCCAAACCAAAACCTTCCCCGATTAAAGAGAACGAAGTGAAAACTAAAAATAATTCTAAAATAAATCTGTATATAGAAGATGCACACTGCAGTCAATTGCCAGCAAGTGCAGCGACGACTACGACCGTACAAAAACAATTAAACGCTGCCACTTTGGAAGACGATCATGACTCGGGTATTGCTATGAGCTCTTTGCTTACTAACATGGGCCGGCGCAATCCAATAGCAGAAAAAAAAAGCGTTTTTTCAATTGCCTACGACGACGTTAGTCGGGTAAAAAAAATTACTTCAAGCGGTGAATCGCCGCCATACTCCTAGGGTCCAAACAAACACGATAATGATATATAATAATGATGATAATGTGAAAATCATGCTTGTATAAAGTTATATTGTAATTGTGATAAATCCTATAGTCCTTTGTAAACTGGTAGGTATATAACATATTTGAAAAGAAAACGTTGTCACATTTTTTTTGTATATAAGTAAATAGAAAAAGATATCCATTTTTTAAATAACAAAAAAAGAATCAACACATATTCGCAACTAGTTACGATGCATCGTCCCTCTTGTGAATATTAAGATTCTACATTAAGTTCGGATAAATTTAAATCTAGACTATATATTTTTAATTTAATTTAATTCATTCATATTTTTAAGATTTTCACTTTCATTCCGCAATCGAACCAGAGTCTTCGCTCTCTGACGGTGTGTGTATATAGTAGAGAAAAGTATTCCTATTATTGTTTAAAATTTATTGTAACCTAATAATAGTAATAATAAAAAAAAGAGAAAACCGATTGTTTATCTACTCATCAACCAACGATCGACCAAGATTCCATGTACAGTGAAGATGTATTTAAAAAAACTTCGTTGTTAGTTAATTAAATTTTAATACTCGTTAAGAATGCTTGTGCGTATATTATTGGGCATTGTATTTCAATTTTTGTTTCTCTTTTTTTTCCCTTTTATTCCCTATTTCTAGTAAATATTAACATAATAATAATAATAATATACTTACACATACACGTTGACACAGTTGGTATCAGTTGCTATGATTAAATTAAAGCCTTCGATCATTGTATGAAAATCCGTATAACTGCCATATAAATAAAGTGTAAAAAAAAACAAGTGCGAAAAAGGAAGTAAATCATATAGATAAACAAAAGAAATTGCAATTCGTTTGCATTGGATACGTGTGCGTTCGTGTAAGAAGAACTTATAACTTTTTTAATACTTTTATGAAAAGGCAACTAAAAATTTTATCTAACAGTCTGTAAATAATTAGTTAAATATTTTTATTTGTGTGCGTGTGTGCTGTTATTATGTATTTTCTATTATCTAACAGTACGTTTAAAAAATATTTATAAAAGCATATTACTGTGTAAGTACTTAGAATTAATTACGTTTTATATTATATTCTATTCTGCAATATGTAAATATAGTTATTATGAGAATTTTTATAATAATTTAATTAGAAAGTAAAGACAGGTAACGTGTATACACGAGATCTTGAAGTATACGAATACAATTTTATAATGAATGCCAATAAAATGCATAAATATATATTGTTTTGAAATTCGCTTTTATAAGATACAGTCCGTGTCACTGGATTGCGGATATTTTGTTTAAGAGAAATACACTTCAAAGTTCTTTTATTTACAATTATATTTCTTTTAATGTAGGATCATTTACAAATTATTTTTGACAATACTCTTTTGTAGGTATTACAAGCAAAAAACAAGAAATTGTCGATTCTTTGTTAGAGAATAAGGAATTTGGATATAATTGGTTAATTCGAGACATATTACTTCAAAGGTCAAGAGTATGTTCAGGATCTACCGCTCGGCGAATTTCCTTTCGAATGATTAAATGTTTGCGGCAGTCTAATATTTAGTATAATTTGATTTTGATTTGATTGACATCCAAGTTTCACTTCACTAATCAGTTACTTTTCATTACATGCAAAGATGACGTAATTTATAAAATCGCCAGTGATGTACAGATGGTTGTGGAACTTGTATCTCTTTGCTGTAGAAATCCACAATTATTTGAAGCTTATCCAGGATAAGCACTTTGTAATTTTTTTACAGCATTTATATTTTAATTGTTCCCTTTCCCCTTTTTTTAATTCAGTTAAGTAATAATGTCAATAAAACTTTCGCGTTTTTAACTTTTAACAGTAGAATCTTTTTATTTTAATGAGATATTTTCGTTCCAAAAGTTTTAAGTGTACTTTTTTCACTTATTATTTATTTACAAATGACTTTCCCCTAAAAAATTCAAAATACGTATAGATTTCGTTTCACAAGAACAACAACATAAAATACAAATAAGTTATTTTAATCACAATTGTTCGATAGAAATTTGAAGGTGAAAATGTTCCTTAAACTTAAAGGTAAGAAGACTTAAATTTGGCTACGGATATACGGAATACTAACTTTCAGTTCCCTATAACACATTGGCTACCTTTCTATTCGATTTCCGATTATACAACTATGCAAATAAAACTTCTAACGTAGAGGCTAAAAGCGAAGCATAATTTACTTTCTACTTTACTTTCTTCTTTACTTTATTCTACTTTTTGTGATTTTGTTTTAACAGCTTTTTTTCAGAAAGTTGACAAAACTGTTTTCGTTGCCTCTTTTTAATACAAAATTCTCTTGAAGTTTGTTTACAGCACTTAACTTGGGCCTCGATAAGGAGTGCACAGCAAAGTAAATTTTACGCTCAAAATAAAATTTTATTACTCTCAGCTTTCATCTTGGGCTTCGATAAGGAGTGTACAGCAAAGTAAATCTTACGCTCTGAAAAAAAATGTTTTACTCTGAGAGGAATAGTGTCTGAAAGAGAGGGAAAGAGACGGAACTATTAATATTAAATATTTTCTTTTTTTCTTTTAGTGTCATTGCTAGTTATTGTTGCGAGCGGAAGGTTGTGCGGATTTTGAAAAGCGGCAAACACCAAATTAGAAAAAGAGAGATTACTCTGTTGTCCAAATTCTTGTGTATTGAATTGATTGGAGGCTAATTTACGTCGCGTTTGGAGTAATTTGATTTGAAGTTAACTTTTGTCCGGAGAAAATTAAAATTTTTTGTTGTGTAAACCTCACACAATATATAGCGGAGAACCTTAAAAATGTGCAAATGTCTGGCCGGAAGTATAGTTTGCTGGTAAGTTTATTTTCACTTTGATTTGGTTTGGGAAAATAAACAATACCTCTTAAATAAATATTCTAAAGAAAGTGCAATGTGAACACTAAATTATACCGATGCTGACTACGAGTAATTGTCGGCGTACACAAATTTTCATGCGTCTTACTTATATAGAAATATTTATAAAATTTCATGCTTGTCGGTTTTTCTTACCTTGAGAGAATAGTCCAGAAGTCTTCTAATCTGTTATATACCCGTGTATATTTAGTTGGGCAGGGTGAGAGAGATAGGGAAAAACTTTCGACTTTCGATTGCATTTTAAAAGATGTATGCTTGATCGCTAAATATCAGTGTTCATCTGTCGAGTATTCATTTTGCCTGCGGTCACATCTCGATCGACGGAAAAGAAAATAAGAAACCTTGACTTTAACCAAAAACTGCACTTCGGCCACTTTTAGAGCCACTAAAGAGCGCTGATGTTGACTAATTAGGCGCTTCTTATTTTGTTTATTAGCGCATTTATTATAAATAAGTTTATAGCCGGTCTCGTTATTGTTGTAATATTGTACGTAAGTGATCCCAAATATATGGATAAGGTGGCCAGAAGTCCTTGGCGGGCAAGAAGCATACAGAAGAACTGCGACCTTTTGGCCGGAGGAAAATTTGATTTCTTCTTCTTTTTTGGGTGATCGCGATTTTTATGATTGGAAATTTTCAAAAACTTGAATAGCTACGTTTCAGAGCTTGTTTTTTTTAGCTTCTCTACTTTGGAATATTAATGATCTTTTTTCTTTATATGTTAATACTTTCTCAGTTTATAGTCTCCAGACTGTAGTCAAAAACTTCTCTTTCCTGCCGAAAAGAAGACGCATATCTGCACTTGCGTTTAAAATAATACCCTTAATAACCATACCATAGATAGACCTCAATGTAAAGTAGCATAAACCACAAGATTCTTTCTTTATAAAGCCGATACCGAAAACATACTCTTCAATTTTTTAATGACTTGTTTTAAAAAAATTCTAAATTGTGGGTGATGTCTATCACACAAAATTACAGGCCGAAGGAGATTATAGATATATTTATGTCATATATGTAAAATAGCTATGGTATGCATGCAAAATAAACTTGTGAATACATTTCCATTCTCTTCGTACAATGTTTCAGTTTATTCGTATTTTTATATATATGTATATGCATATTGCATACAAACATTACATTAACTTCCTTTACTCTTGGCGTGAGAGAACAAAATAACACGACAAAAAGTTCGAAATGTTTTTAAATAAAACGCGAATGTGCAGAAAGACGTCTCAGTTTTTAAAAAGATTGAACAAAAGGGCAAGTCTGCAACTGGCAGCAATTCTGTTAAATTGAAAGGGTAACTGCGGAGCAAGTCTGCAACTGGCAGCAATTCTCCGTAACATTCTCAAGCCGTTCTAAAACAAACAAAATGTGGTGTGTGGAATAAAAAATGTTTTTTTTTAACTTTTTCCTATATGGTATTCGAAATTCGTCTCGAAGTGAATGAAATCTTCACACTTTAAATGGTGTGATACTAAGTACATATTGCCAGACCTGTATGTGCGTGAACCTATACAATGTTTGCGTATGAAAAGTGAAGAACTTAAAAGCCAATTGAATTTGCCAATCGGCTCGCAACTGTAGAAAGCAACTCTAACGAAAATCGTTCCATATGATTCTACGTTTTATGCATGCGTGTCTTTTATAGTACATAGTACTTCTAAACACTTGATTGCTAGGCTCTTAATAAAAAAATGCGAACGAAACTTTAAATGTCCATATGCGCCAAGCTTATGTTATCACTCTCACTTTTCGAATTCAAACATCGCACTTTCAATTAAGATGATAATGATAAATGCATCACCTAAGTTTAACAAGATGCACCGAAAAGCATCGTAGTGTCGTTTCTATAAATACTAACATTAAATTGTTAAACAAGCAACATAGCAGCTATGCAAAAATTTAGCACTTTGAAAGCGGCAAGTACAATATAAGTAAAATAGAATATTGGTGTAATTGGCTTCGTTTCGGTTTGGAATTAATCTCTCAGTGTCATCATTCAATTAAAGCAACATTCGACGCCGGCACACACGCAGGTTGACAAGAAGGGCCAAGAACTTGTGTCAATGAACCCAAAAATGTGCAATATGTTGTATTTACTTTTTAAATTTTAGTCTGTCTATGTTCTTTTCATTGCTTATGAATATTGTGTTACTCTTGTAACTTGTCCATAGCTTTTTCGGTAAATTGCGCTTTTAAAAATATCGCCACTTTTTTTATTTATTGCAGTATGTATACGGATTACCTGGGAGCGTTTTCATTTTAAACAAGTGAAAGTCGCAAAATGCAAACTTTACTGTTACGAAATGCATTCAAAAATATATACGGCAATTTTTACCAGTTTTCACTTCTTGCCACTTCCACAATGACCAGTCAAGATAAATATCGAATGAGTTAAACGGTTGAAGGTTGCTTCGATTTGCCGCATTAGTAACCGAGGCCGTCCTTTTATCTCTATTAAATGCTGCTGCTAGAGTATAGATACGCTGCGAAAATTGAGATAAAATACTAGAACTTGACATATATATTTAAATGATGGATTTAATAATCATAACTAGCCTGTAGCTTAAAGTTCATAGCAGATTATTATTTAGATTTCTACAACTATCTTTCATGCTCATCAGTCAAATCAGCTAATTCGCGAATTAGCTACTCATCAACCTACAGCAGTTGCTTTGCAATTTTTGCAAAGAGGAGTATAAAAGACTCGCCTTAGAGTCTATATAATTTTCTCATTTTTGTTTTTTAAAGTTAGTTTTAAATGTTAAAATCTTTGTTTCATCTATGGACACCAATTAGTCATCGACCAAAATTAGTCGAATAGATGTCCGGGGATGTAAAAATTTTTCCTCAAAAATAATGTAATAAAATAGAACAAACAAAAATGGGACACAGCCCAGTATTAAATACCTTACACTGTTTCACTTAATACAGTTACTCATATACTGGCTTTTCAAAATAAGGTGGCGTCATATGACAAGTGGTCCGACCCAAACCATTCTTAATAGCGTTAGTCCTCTATTTATCGACGCATACTTAATATACCCTTGCACCGCAAATGGTGTAGGGTTTGAGAATTTGCTGTTTATACATTTTTTACATTTTTATTACCTTCAGTTTTTTATTTTTCTCAAAAATTTTGTACTTTTTGGAAATGACAAAGGAGTTCAAATGTTTTTAATTGGGAAACTCGAAAAGTGACGATTAAGGAAAATAAGTCAATGAAAAATTTATAAGAGTTATTAATTGAAAAACGTTTCTATGTTCCGCTCTTGCAACCATGCAATCTTCTACGTGCAAGTAGAGTTCGCTTGAATCACACACATACACTTTTAATTGTTTATTTCTATAAGAGACGGTGCTGCGCCGAATAACTGCCTCATCTAAATGCTGGCCATAAGAATTGAAAGGACTAAAGTAAGAATATACGCCATTACAACAAATGCATTAAACTTTCCATTAATAAAAAACAAACATTTCGTTAATTAAGAAGTAAAAGTAAAACTTCCACTTTATTCCAAAATGTCCAAATTTATAAAAGTACCTAAGTGACTTGCCAGTTCACATATAAAAACATCTAAAAAGTGTATTTATGGCACAGAAGGGCGTCGCTATGACTAAAGTGTTCTGCTATACTATATTTTTGGCGCCACATTATGAGGATAATACATATTTTGAGAAAACACAATCATAGTTTCCCAAACTTTAGTAAAGGAGAATGTACTCAACTTACGCCGAATTTTTTTCTTGTTAGCATATGATTGTTTTTTATATGCCTTATTTAGCGTTTTAATAAATGCCTTTCCAAACTAACGAAATTATGTTTCCGAAACTAAAGAAATTTTACATATGTCTTTGATCAAATTTTTTTAGTGAACAGCCTAACCCGCTCGCTACATGGACAAAATATCGATCACACTCCAAGATAAAATAAGTTTTTTTAAACTGATCAAATGTGCGATAGTGGACTGTGGAGAGAAACGGCTAGATCAGATATATATAACGGTTGATAAGCAACAAGTTAGATTTATAAGTACCTACATGCCAAGTTTTACTTTCAAATATCAGTTTTTAAATTGTGGAAAAATAAATCAGACCGCTGACGGATTGAAGTAGAAGAAGAAGAATCAACATGGTGGAATCCACACAGAGTGCCGAACTATTCGATATCATATATATTTTACAAATCTCTTTTACGTATGTATATATATATATATATATATATATATATATTTTAATATTTTTTTTTTCAAAAAAAATCCGATTTTCATATGTAACTTGCGGACAGACAAGTAATTTTCATATACTTCAGTAATTCAGTGATGAGCTTAAAAATTATAAAGCGTTTTGCCATCCACAGATGTCTCAGTTAATGTGCGAAATTATTTTTGCACTTATCTTTGAAAAGGTTGTAACAAATTCGAAACAATATAAACTATAGATTTAGCTATTTGTTAGATTGGTTGGGTTGTCGATATCTGCCGTCTTTATTCTTAGGCTCGGTGTGGAAACATTCATTAAAAATATAGTCATGTTTCAAGTTTCTGTCTCAACTTTTATGTTCGCAAGCTTGCGAACTAACATAGGCGGAGAAATGAACGTGAAAAAATCAACCGAGATTATTATGACAATTTAAAATTATGTTACTTGTGAAGAAAATTTCGAATTATTACCACCGGCAGAATAAACTTGTGTACAATGGTCGCCGTTAGGAGATAATTAACAAAAACACGCACAATAAGTAGTCACACAACTCAATTTTAGATTTGCGCTGAATATGAATAAACTTATGATAAATTTTACATTTTTTTACGCAACCCTATGAGGCAAGCAACCACAATGATGGTGGTTCCAATAGATGGATACGATTAATTCATTTTCCTCAGTCACAAAGCAAGAATAACGCTATTTATGACCGCTAGGAAGACTACCTTTACGAAATTTATACGTAAAAGAGTTTCTTAGAAAATATTAAGTTCTTAGCGAAAATTGAATTCTTTAAGGTTGTAAAGTCTCCTTAAATGATCTAAAACAATGGATTAGTTAATATTAAAACTATGTTTGTTTCTCATAGATATCTCAAATTTGGCCGATGTTCGAGTACTCTTACGTCGTTTGATCAAATAATTCAACCCCATAATATATTTATATTTCTAGCAAAGACAGAAAAATACTTGCTTCCGCTTTCTCCACATAGGGAACCTCTGTTTACCATTTCATCCTTAGGGAAATGATCAGGAATATTGTAGTAACGTCGCCCGCCAGGCGAGTTTTATATAAAACTTATCACCCTCCCAATAGTCATTATCATATTAAAAGAGTTTTGCTCAATATTTTTACAGCAAAATTTATTCACTTTTATATAAATCCCGCGATTATGATGATGATATCATTTTATATTGCGCTAATAGTCTGACAAATACGTACAAAAATGTAAAGTAAATGTATTTGCAAATAAAATGTAAATAAATGTTGAATGCTGTACTTTTCCATTCCAGCATCCACGCTGCTAATCAAAAATGGGAGAAGAGAGAAAAGGTACAAGTAAGTAAGCTAGTGAAAGGAGTTCAGATATTCATTTTTTTCAGTTTAACAGAGATTGTGAAGGAATTTATTGGGAGCAACTCTGTGCTCTCTCTATTTTCAACGCATTGTACTTCTTTTTATAACCCAAGTAAAGGAAAAAAACAGCTAAGTTGTGCGAAGTAAAAAATTGCGAAAAAAAATTAAAAAAAGCAATGAGCAAGGTTGAAAATTAGAAGAGGAAGTATAGAAATAGAAACTAGCTTAGCAATATGAAAAAATTTGTAAGAAAATTCGATCATTGTTCGCCTCGCAAGTCTGAAGTTACCACTTCAGGTGAAAGTAAAGGGTACTGAGTCATTTTAAGGCATAAAATAAAGTTGAGTAAAGAATTAAATGAAAATATTTGAACGATTGAATCCTGACCTACTTGTATTGCAACAAAGTAAGGTTTAAAAAAAACTATTTTTATTAATCCAAGTATTTTGTACACGCACCACAGGATGGCCATTACTACTGTTTTCTGCATTTTTTGCTTTAACATTCTATTAAATGCTGTAGCTGTATTGGTGAATAGAAGAAAGATAATGCAATTCGAAACATCAGAAATTAAAATATTTATAAAACATTAAAATGAATTTACTAGCAATTACAATTATATTGGACAGAAAATTTTTGTGATCAGATGGATATATTATCAGTTGCTTGGTCACGAGCTTACGCTATCAACAAACACTAACGTAATTCATTTGAAACACGAAGGCAGAATACTCAAAGGTCCGATATAGTGATTTTTCAACACAATGATGCTCGACCTCGTATAACGAAACGCACGCACTAACCGTTAGAAATATGATACCCTACCTCTTGACTTAAAAAGTGCTACGCTCCCTGCTGTATTCACCAGACGATCACCTCCCCTTTTGACGCTAATATCAACTGATGGCTTATTGGCTGTAGGCTGCATTAATATTAAGATGATATCAAGAAACGTCGACTTCTTAAAAAATCACATCTTTGCGAAAGGCATTCATTCATATTCTGTTTAAACATGAGAGAAACAGTGGCTAACAATGGATAATGCTTTGATGAAACCATTTTTTTTACGTATAAGAAAAATTCGGCAAAAATTACATCACACTCCTATTTTTTTTTCTTCTAACTTACCACTGCTGCACTTTCACGTAGAGATGTATCGATTTACGTAATACCCATAAGTTAAAAAAAAGGCTACTCTAACTTGAACATAAGTTGGTTACAGATGCAGGCTCTATACTATTTCTATTTTATTTTATTCGACCATAAGACCGGATATAATATCTCAACTGTATGTAACAGGATCATCAAAGTCTTAAACTATTTATAATTGCATTTTGTTTGAATACAGGAAGTCTGTTGCCCTTCTTAAATCATCTATAAAATTTTCTTCTCTTTAAAGCTGTTGCCGATGCGCTGTTTGCTTATTAGTATCGCTTCTTAGCAGTGCCTTCGTGTTGCTCGTTATTGTAGGAGTAGTCATTTACTTTGTCTACTTTTATGACGGAGATCATAGTAAAGATATAGAGAACACTCTAATGAAAGCTAAAGAAAAATTTGAAGAAACTAAAAATATACTTCGTAAGTTCTATGATATTAAGTATTAATGAATAAGACTGTCTAAACACTTTTCTGTTCTTAATCTTTGTTTGCAGAACATTAAACGTTGAAATCCAAAGATTACAACAAGGACTTATTGGGTGTGAAAAATCGAAAAATATTTAAATAATAGTATTTAAAATTATAGTATTTAACTCTATTGCTCTTTTAGTAGATAAGTGTGGCCTTACGTGTTTTTCTTATTCAATAGATTTCACACGTTTGTTTTATATTTTAGCAAATGTAAATTCTGTATATTATCGTCGTTCTTTTTTATTGTATTTTTGATAAAAACAAACTGCGGTAACGTTTAAAGGCTATAAACCATAGTATCATTTACTGGATTTTACAAAGATCAGCAAAATCTCATCTAAAAAATAATTTATAACTGAATGTTGTCTCACAAGTGCATGCCGATCCAATAGTTAACAAAATATATAAAAGTTTAAACATTTTTTTATACGTGTTTTATTATTAAATAAATATACATGCGCACATACAGTAAATATATATATTATGAAAAAATTGAAAGTCAATGTAACTAAAAAATGTTTAATACTAGTGCTAACAATGATAATATGTAAGGGTAAAATTAAAACAATTTTTTGAAAACTTATCTAATAAATTTGTATGAATTAATTTTATTGTATGTAACGCTTTGGTTTTGTGTTTCTTTTCTATTAATTATCACACAAAACTATTCTGATCTATTAAACTTGCTTGAGATTGAAGAAAAAAGCTGCGCAACGACGAAATCTAATAGGACTTTCAGTAGAATTTCAGAGATTTCGAATAATATTCGACTCGTAAGATTAAAATGAATTAAAGCTATGCTAAAGTTTTATTGTACACGGGTTCCCAGTTTTAATTCTTCCATGCGCTCTTAGTAAAACCTATTAAAAAAGTTTTTCTCTCTCTCAGTCAATAACCAATATTTTTTTTCAGTACTGTAGGGACAATTGGCATCCACCCCTGAATTTAATAATCGTAACGGTATCTTGTGAGCATATAAATGAGTAGTTCTTTAGAATACGCTTATAAAAGACCGATGGAATCTGTAGAAACAAACTTTTTACATATGCTTGGACATTCGTTAAAGAATTTGAATTTTCAAAACATAAGTTTTATTAAACGCATACTTATTAATAATTATTTTAAAAAATTTGAAAAAAAACGCAGTAGCCTTTGTAAAAAAAATATTTTTTATATATAGCATCTTCGCCGTACCATTAAAATACCTCATATCTCAGCCAATTGACCTTATATAAGTTATAATAATAATAACTTTCTCTCGTAAAAACGGATTTTGCGATTTAGAAAAATTAAATGACATCGACTTTAATAAGGAGGTTCATATTTTCCAAAAAAGATCTATTCAAAATCGGCTGTAAAATTCGTTAAAGTGAACTAGTTAAATAAATTCCTACGTATTTCACTTTGGGCTATTTTTGCCCAAAAGATGGGGTAGCTCAGTGGCTCAACGTTTCCCTTCACAAGAATTTTCTTCAAAGTATTCTTTTCTTAGAAAATTGTATTTCGAGATTGCTTATTTTACATTCACAGTTCTCCCTTTTTTATACCAAAGGTAAGTTCATTTTTCTTAATCCATAGAACTAGCCCCACCATCGTTGTAACCGCACGTCCACTCCTCCGCTCACCTCGCGACCAACTCTCCTCTCACTTACTTTGCTCTAACTTAAAAACTTAACTAAATCTCGGCTTAAGCTAAGTATTCTGATTTCTCCTTTCTTAATTTTTCCTTTACTTAATTTCTCTTTATTTAATCCTAACTTACTGTTGGTGATTTTTGTCGTTGCTCTGCTCAGAATACTACTGCGATTGTTCCCGATGGGCAAAAGAAACTGTGATTTGCTGCTGTTGTTGTGGTGTCGCCCGTGATGTTGTGTTGGCGACTGGTGGTGAGCCTTTCCCGGGGTGGCCTGTATGTGAGAAGGCTTCGGCAGAGCGGGTGCTTACCGTCTTCGGGTGCGGCGGGGGCCGACCCGCTTAACTTCCCACTCGCCTCGTTGGCGGACTGTGATGACATACATCACCTCGTGCTTCAGCACAACCTGTGGTCCAGTGCTCTGGTCCGCTGAAATTCTCCGAACATTTGGGTGATCCGTCCGGCCTGTGATTCGGTGACGGGTTGGCGACTGAACCAGGTCGGCCTTTGAGAGAAAGTATACGACTGCTTGTCGAAATTCAATTTTTTTGTTTTTGTCGAAAAGTGCGCAAACGCTGAAGGGAATCGTATGAATATCAATTCCGTTCTCTTTTTTTACGCTTACCTGAAGAATTTCACCGTGTACGGCTTGCAAGAATTAAAAGTTGCTAGCAGGGGCAGAGCGATGCTTTTCAGCTCTGAGTGTAGACAAGATAATTAAAAACGCCGTATCCGATATTCCGATATTCAAGTCCGCTGTCCGTTTTCAAAGAAGGAATCCCAACAACAAGGATGATTGGATTCCCACAACTAGCATCACAATCGGCTTTAAAGGGAAAACCCTCCCTAAGTTACTTAAATTCAATTATTGTCATCTACTGGTTGAGTACTTCATACCAACCTTAAAGCAATGCTTTAACTGCGGTAGATACGGTCACGTTTCAAAGTTTTGTAAAGCTCAGGAGAGCAGATGCCTAAACTGTGAGAAGTCTCCGAAGTATGTCAACTGCGAGAAGATGAAGTGTTCGTCCTGTTGTTCAGGTGAGCACAACGCTCTCAACAAGTCCTGCCCGAACAGGGAACTTGAATAAAACATTAACAGGATCATGGCAATTAAAAGTCTCTCGCATAAAGAGGTAAAAGAAAAGTTTTTGTCTAATTACTTCGAATGTCTTGACGACATCTCCTATGAGGACAACTTCCTTCCATTGGGGAACGCGTCTGCCATTTCGTGTAAGGACGACAATGAAAATGCCAACAAAATTTTAACCAAAGATAAATAAATGCTATCGTCAAAAGAAAATCGGTTCGTTCCGAATCTCCTGTCAGTTCACCCACCAAACCTTCTTCCAGTTCATCCCCCAAGCCGTTTGGAACAAGTCTTCAGCGTCTAGTAATTTCAAATAACTATTTGCGTTCCTCAGAACTTGAAAGATTAATCTCTGCGATTAAAGAAAGTATCCGTCCGATGATCCATCATAATCTTATTAAAGAATTTGAAGAGAAAATGTCTGTCTGTGCCAATCCTCGCCCCCAGCCCTATGAGAAAATCCGCCGGGGTTCCTTTTCAAGTTTAAACATGATATCCTTTGTACAATATAATATCCAAGGTTTTTGACGTAATCTGTCGTTTCTGGACTTTTACTTGAACTCAAATAAGGTTGATTTCTGCATCTTAAGTGAAGTGTTTCTGAAAGATAAAAATTGTTTTGAAGTTAAAGTTCCGAATTATGCTTCAGCCACCAAATGTCGAAATGATGGCTATGGTGGTGTTACCATATTAGTTAGTATGGTGGTGTTACTATATTAGTTAGCCGTTGACATGATCATCATCAACACCATGAACCTTAAACCGAATCTTTTCATAGCATTATGCCTTTTGTGATGAGATTCAGATATTATATGACTTTCTTGACGGCGAACAAAATGTGATTCTAGCTAGCGATCAAGTCTCGACCAACAAAGGAACGATCCTTGTAAATGCCATCAATTCCAGCAGTTTCAGTGTCTTAAATAATGGCAATACTACCTTTCACTGTAACCGGAATGGTCGCACGGCGAGCACTGTTTTGGATCTAACTTTCTCGAATTCAACTATTTTATCTTTCAACTTGGACACATCCAACGTTTCCATTAGCAAAAGTCCTCAATCTCCCATTTAATTCCACAGTTGCAACAATTCCGTTAAGAAACTAGAAAATATCATTTGACGCAACTTGCTTAAGGACCGCCTTTCTAAAGCTGATCTTCCTTCCGATTTACCATCAATTCGAAGTGCTTTCGGTCTGTGATTAGGTCTGCTAGAACCGAGTTTCCTGATATTGAGTCCTCACCTAAACCTTGGTGGAACTCTTTCCTGTCAACACTTTTTCGCAAACACCAAGCTGCAAGGAAAAAAATGAGTAAATATGTCAATCCAGCCAACTGCATGGAATATATGAAAACACTGAAAGAATGGAGGTCTGCAGTTAGAAAGGCGAAAAGGACACATACAGCTATTGCGATTAAGGAGTTATGTGGAAATGGTAACCCACGTTCTTTCTGGAATTACATCAATGGTCATCGACATTGTACTCGAAAATTAAGCGGTTGTGCTGTGTGGAATGACCATGATAATAAAAGATATTTGGATATGCACAAGAGCTATATTTCCAGTGTCTATCCGATTACAATACCTTCAATTCTTTTTAGTAGTCTCAAAAACACACCCTTTTCATTGCATGAACTAATGTATGTTTTATCAAATACACTCCCAACGAAGCAATTCGGGCAATTCGCAACCACATCCTTCAACAGCTAAGCGACGAATTTAATGAGATCGCGCGCGTTAAATCCAATCGCCTTTTCTATAAATTAAAACCCACATTTCAATTCAAACCCTTTTCTGTATCTTCTTTTAATTCCTGGGAAATTAAAATTCTTTATAGACTCATGAGTAGTGTCACTTATGACAAAGTTTATTTAAAAATGATTCGCGCTATACCATGTGATGTTTGTGAAGTTTGCAATGCTGTCGAGTCTGCTGAGCATCTAATCTTCAGATGTCACAGACTTAATGACATTAGAGATTCCTTTAGCTTCTTCAAGTTATATGACTGCCTCCTCGATCTTTTTGTAGCAAAAAATGTACGTCGTCTCGGTGAACTTACTTACTTTATTAAAAAATTATTTTTTTCTTCTTCTTCTTTTTTTTCTCTCCCTCGCTCATTCATTTTCTATTACTATAGCATTCTTTTTTCGATTTCAGCCACTTAACATACCGGCTCCAGTTATTACGGCCGCTCTTGTTTTTGTCGCGTTTTATAAATATTTCTGAACAAAATTACGACATTTTATTATCTGGACTATATAAGCCACAAATCTATTGGCTTAGTCTAACTCCACCCAACAATCCAAAAAAAGAAAAAAATATATCAAAGAAGCAATGTGAAAAATTTGTTTATTTCATTTTAAACATTTATAATAACTAGGAAAATAAAATAATTTATGAATAATTTAAAAACTGCTGCTGCTTGCATTTTGATATTAGTTAAAGCCCTCTTTAAGAAATCACGAAAGCTTTTACTTTGATTTTATGATTCAACGTTCTTCTGGGCAAAACAGCAAATCAATCGTTACCTTGCGATGGTTCATTTCTAGTTAATAATCATTTTATAAAAAGAAATAATAATTTAAAATGAATATAGGAAAGAAAATTTTCTAGAATGCAATAACTTTTTCCTAATCAACAAGTTCGCTTTCAATGCTATTGTTTTATGCTATTATCTCCGGAGCTTTTTTGCACTTTACTATGAAAGACAGATATACGCCGGGCGTAA